AAAAAGTACCCAAAAACGGCTTTTTTACTTGTTTTTTTTTAATTTGCCTGCAGCGCAGAAATTTTGGCCAAAACAGTGTCTTTTTAGTGCTTTAGGAAAGCTCAGAAAATCAATTTGGTCGACCTAAAAAAAAGGTCGTCAAAATTTCTGATAATTTTTTTGAAAATTCGCCCCCCCCCTCGAGAAAATCCTGGATCCACCCCTGCTCAAAGGTTATTGAAAAACTGATGAATTTTTTTATTTAGCTGAGTAATTTGTTGTGTTTTTTTTGTTTTTCTCGCCAGCTTTAAAAAATTACGAATGATGTATTTTTTTAATTATAAAGCTGGGTGCTCAAATTTCTGCACTCAATCATTTTGCTCTTTGACTCATTTTCAGATTTGAATCAATGATAGACACATTTAAAATTTTACCCTGAGGTTAGTGATCTGCGGATTTTTTTTGACAGTTCAATTTTTAAATTTTTTTCTTTTTCGTCGATAGCGGAACTCCAACTCAGACATCAAACTTCAAATTGCAAACTAACTTCACAGCCTATTAAGATATGCATGTATTTTGATGCTTTCAAAAATCCTATGTTTTGTATCTTAAAATTGAATACCCGGCATTTATATTCTTATAAAATATTAGGAAAATCTTGCGAAAAAGAAACATCGCTGTTTCGAAAGAGAACCACCAAGTTGAAAAAAGGTTAAGAAAGTAGAAGAAAAAACTTTCAAAATAAATTTTTGTTGTGACAAAATAAATTCCAATATTGTTCCGACTTTCGAAGAAAACGGAATATTTATGCTCGGTGTCGTTTTTTTTATTCAGTCAACTTTCACCAATCGAAAAAAAGTTCTGGGGGTTTAAAAATTGCTAAATTACTCATGTCTGGACTAAATTATGCGCGCTTTGAAGAGGTTATTCATAATGCTGAGAGCGTAACGCGAATTTTTTATGCGTGGCGAATTATCCTGCACAACAAACTCGTTCCAAATGGAATTGAGGCTAGTTAACCGGTCTTGTTGTTCCGACTTTTGATACGAAACTACCGGAAGTTTTATGCTCGGGGTGGGTTTTTTTTTCTTCAGACAAATTTAGTTTTTTTAACTAGGCATTTTTGACGGAAGTTTTTAGATCGTTCAAAAGGTATTGTTGTCCTAAACTCAAAGTTGAAAATATATTTCACCTGTGATCATTTTTTGTAAAGCTATGGATGCCTAAAGATTGCCATTTTGGCCAAATTGGGACAATTAACGCGCGATATATTTCGCGCTATTAACGCGTAAGCGGAGGTTTAATCCGTCTTAGAAATCGTTCCAAATTGGTTGAAAGAAGCTTATTTGCCATAATTGATTTGTTACAAGGAGCGAAATCTCTTCTTTTTATACTTCATATAGCGTGTGGGGAGATGATTTTTATAAGAACATTCAAATTTTAGAATTTTTTTTCATTTTGTTTAGTTACATTTTTTTATGTATTACTGCTCCATAAATCTTAAAAGGCAGTCGGAACATTCAGGTTTTGCCCGGATACAAGCAGTCTTGTTAATTTTGTACGACTCAAAGTTTCACACTTTGATATTGTCCAAAATTTAAATTTATAGTTTTCAATATTTTCTTTACTCAAAAACTATTCAATATTAATTAAGGGACAGTCGGAACATTCAGTGATTTGCCCTGATATACGAGCAGTCTTGTTTAGAACAAAACTAGTTCTAATTTTGACGATACTTTGTTTGAAGTATTATCATTTTCACTTTTGACCTTCATTGGGTCTACATAATCTACGACAGCGGTTGTTTTTGAAAACTTCATATAGCTTGATCGCACATTGATTGAATATTTCATGATACATGTGACTCGGTTCGCATTCAAATCCCCTCCTGTCTTGTTTTCCTAGTTCAATTCCGACTTTTCACCCGTCCCAGGAAATCCCCTAAACCCTGTTTAAAACTTAATTACCCAAATGATAAAGTATAGAACTCACAAAAATGAGAACTCGCATATACAAAATCAATGACGTCAACTTAACTTTCCAATGATTTATATGATATTGATTCCAGTCTAAGCAAATTTTAAAGACTTGCAGCTGTATTTTGTCTGAGCCGCCAAATAAGAGATTTCCGTAGACTTCGAAAAGAAAGACACAGACCGCAACTATCGCAACGGAAATACGATAACGCAAGCTTTCTGACTGAACCATACAAATCAATTTAAAAAAGTTAACATGAAGTAAATTTTGAAAAGGGTTTGCGTGATTTTTTATCAGCTCTCATTTTTTCAGCTCTCATTTTGCGTCAATTTAGCGTCAATAAGGAATTCGTACGATAGATAATTTCTCTTTAAAAATCCAAGCACCGTTTTTTGGATTTATTTTCTAAAAAATTGTTCTGTTTTTTTTTGCTTTCGCATTTTAAGAACATAATACATTCGTTCAGTAGTTTTAAGGTAAACACTAACAATGAGCTGCTGTAAAAACACGGGTTGACGAAAACGAGCAGCCATTCGTTGCGGCATTTATGGTGCTAGAAAAACAATAGAAGAGTTTGAAAAATAGCATAAAGATAGCATGAATAGTACCATAAAATGCCGTTAAAAATTTCCATAAATAGTCCGACATATAATTGCACACTTTTCCATATTATGGGAACTTATTATAAAATCAGATCAGAGGTAGTTTTGTATTTCTTAACATTTTTTAATTCCATGCCTTTTTCTGAAAGTATTTACCAATTTTTCTCGTTGCTTTCTTGTGAAAAATGCAAAAAGTGAGACTGAAACCATTTTTTGAAAAACTACGATGCTAATTTATGTTATTAAGTCAAAATCATCCGAGCAAAACAATCAAAACTAAGTCTGCATTAGCAAAACTAGAAGAAGCGTTTAAATTTTTCAGTACCTCAAAATTTTGTTTTATAGTTTTCGAAATTTGAATTAATTTTTATAAAAAAGGTTGTTATCGTGAAAAACAGATTTTACTAAAAAAACGATGTTTGAATGCTCAAGTTTGAGTAATTTATTCTAGCAGAAATTTTATTATGAATCTAAAAGCATACCATTAATCCAAAAAAAATCGTCATAAAATTGAATCTTTGAAGATTTTATTCATAATTGTAAAAGCGTAACGTGAACTATTTATGCGTGACAAATAATCCCGCGCAAAATCGTTCCAATCTGAATGGAGCCTTTTTAAGCTTACTTGAATTTTCACACTTGATCTCTGATATTGTCCAAAATTAATAGTTTTTCAATATTTACTTTTTCCACAAAATAACTGATATGGGTTAAGGGGCAGTCGGAACATTCGCGGCAGTCGGAACATTCACGGGGCAGTCTTGTTAAGAATTAGTTTTTTTGCAAAAAAAAATCAGAAAATAAATTTCAAAAATCATCGAAACAAATCATTTTTTTTGGCCAAAACACAACTATATAAACAAAAACTAAAGTCAACAGAACCAAAATTTTGATCACAAAAACCCAAAACAAAATCAAGAAAACTATAAAAAACAATTAACATTTGGACAGAAAAACCTGCAATAAAATTTAAAAAATTCTCATTTTAATTCAACTTTTGTTCACAAAAAAATTAAATGAAATCTTGGAAAACGTCAAAATAAACCAAACTTTGGGCCGAACCCAAAATACTAAAATAATGAAAATTGTGCAAATGTTGTGGTTGGATTGCTATATTTTTAACAGAAAAAACTAACAAAAATTAGTGAACAATTTTTGAATCGTATAAATTGATAGTAAATAAAATCGGTTTTTCAGAGAAAAAAGTCAATAAATAAATTGATGAACTGTAGATTTCGATAAATAATTGCCATCTTAGTTTTGTCATATCAAATTGTTCAATTCATGCAAACACAAGACAAGCAGATTTTTGCGGACTCTGGTGAAAAAAAGTTCGAAGTTTTTCTGCTTTTTTAAAAAAAAATTTCCCTTTACGCATGCATTGTTAAGTTTAAAGTAGATTAAATTGCATCAAATACTCTTTTATTTTTGCAGAAAAAAGCTTGCGTCAACGTACTGACGTTTTGAATCAGTACGTTCAAAACATACGTTTTGAGCCAGTACGTACTCTGTACTGATGTTTTGAGCCAGATCACTTTCCCGCCGACTTCACTAGAATTTTTTAAAGCCCTGCTACAATAATTCTTTGCTGGTTTTTTTGCTCAAAAGGGGCCAACTCGCGAAAATTAATTTGTTCAATCTCTTTTCTTGCTTAAACAGTTTTTAACAGCTTGCTGTTACGTAAAAAAAATCATACATGTTTTGTATCTGAATTCTCAGTTTCATTCTTTTAAAAAAATTCTTTCCTTACGATTGATTGCAAGACAGCAATGTGCAGCTTGATCAAAAATTTCAACGGTAAGCTGCGACTTTTTTAGTTATTTGTACAACATTTTTCGTCATGCGAAAAACTTGAAATCTGGTTATCATCTCAGATAAAGTAATTATGTTCTAACTTTATATTAAATCGCCATTTTGTATTATAGTTCAAATCTAATTCATAGAAAAGCTCTTTTTCATTGAAAAAGAAAGCGGTAAAATACGGCTCTTGATAAGAAAAGTTTTTTTTTTGAAAGACAATCGTAAGAAATTCATTAGATAAGATAAATATTTTACATCGGCAAGTCATAACTATTGGAATAGAAAAAAATGGATGAATTATAAAATATTTAATTTTATTCCCCGCACCCCTTCCCTTTGGTAACCTAGTAACGAATATCCCCACTTTGCAAAAGAGGCAAATAGATAATGAGATCCCATTTTTCTAAGACAATTAATTGCGACGGGAAATTCTCCAACATTTGTGCCCTTCAGCTCTTCGTGGGCACCGCTGTTGTGCCCCTTACTAAGTGCTACATGCAATTTTTTTGGACATTTTTCTGTTCACGGATCATGGTGGACCTCGAACATCCGACCTTTCGATTGAGAGGCGGAGACGTAACCACTTCACCACCGATCGACAAATGTATCAAATATTTGAGTGTGTTTTGAGTTTCATTTCAGCAGTGACTCCAACATTCAAGCGGCGAATCATGGACCAAAAAGTACGAAGGAACAGCGGGGCAATGTTCTTCGCCGAAATATCCAACCCCGTTCCCAACTCCTCGCTTAAAATATCCTGGTTCATAAACGGAGAAAAGGTGTCACGTGACGTGTCCAAGAGATTCGTAACCAAATTTGAACCTAAAAATGGACGAGCTATTTTGACAATAGCTGACTGTACCATACACGACGAAGGTGAAGTTAAATGCGTCGTGGACAATCAACATGACGTAGCCGAGTGTTCTTCTAGCCTAAAAGTAGCAGTTGAATAATTTAGCATGAAACTCTGAGGTGGATTTAAAGTTTCAGGTTCTTTTCGGACAATAAATTTGCAGCCGACCACTGTCTTATTTTGTAAAAAAAAAATGCCAGAAAAAATGCCAAAAATCTTATTCTTTCAAAAACTTGCTGTAATTAAAAACAGAAGAAATCGTCAAAAAAATGTTTGCTTGGATGTACATCAGGTGGTAAAGAACCTTAGATCCGCCTTGTTGAGTTTACTATGACGACTAGTTATGACTAATAGTTGTTTGATGATTACTCACTTCTATGCGTTCTAATTGAATGAGTTCTGAAGATGCCAATGTTTACCACAAGCCGTGCCATGTCGCTTTATATCTCTATTTTTCTAAATATTTCCCAAAATTGCTTTTAGATTTAGACAGCTTCAGTAACATTTGTCATTTATAAAATATGAATACTCAAAAACTAAATTCCGACGTAATCGCTGTTTCCGTAAATTGGTTTGTTTATGGCTAAAATTGATTAACAGGATGAAATTCAATTACTACAAGAATGATCGAATCAGAGTAAAAATCCGAGTAAATTTATATTCTCAATTTTTAAATAACCAAGACATTTTGTGTAAAGTAATTACGTCGGATTTTTACCAATTTCAAAATAGGTTGTCTAGATTGCTATTGAATGTAATTGCAAGTGTTATGTCTTATTGATGTTTTAAAATACTGATCAAAATTTGAATATTAATCATTTTCAGCTTTATTTTCAATCATCAGACGCGTACGCAAAAATTACAATCGAGGTCCTGAATAATAAAAATTTTTAAAAAAATTGTACTTTTTGAAAATCTTCCTACCCGTACACAGTAAATTTTCTAAAACAGATGTGAAATAATCTTTTTCAGATCTAAACTTCAGATCTGAAATAGGTTGTGAAATGTTTAAATAACGCTTCGATACTTCAAGGGTTGGTTATTTCAGATCTAATTTCAGGTCTGAAATTTTCTTTTTCTTGATCATTTCAGACCTGAAAAAAAACTGTTTCAGATCGAATTTCAGATCTGAAATTTAGTTTTCTAGATAGATTATTTCAGATCTGAAAAATCAATGATTCGAACTCAATTTTAGCTATTTTTGATTTATTTTTAGCTTCTGCTAGCTACTAGTAGGTACTCAGTAAAGTCTCAAATTGGAGACTGCCGAAGTATGTTTCCTCAAGCATGAGATAAACATTGGAACCGCATAATTAGCGCATGAAAATCAAAAATGTTACAGGTCTTCAAACAGTTTTTGAAAAATTTTTAACACAGTTGAACAAAAAATTTAATTCGAAAAAAAAACTGTTTGTGAAAAGATTCGGAAGTTTTTCTGACCGCTAGTTAACCTAAACATAATTATGTTTTGCAGAAACATCAAAAAATAAAAACTCCATTTTTTGCTCGAAATGCTTAAATTATAATTTAACAAAGCATTTCTCAGATCTGATTTCAGATCTGAAATTTTGTTTTTCAAGGTTATTTCAGAACTTACATTTTCCACTTCAGATCCAAATTTCAGATCTGAAATTTGTAAATTCTTATCGAGTTTGAAACAAAAATTTCAGATCTGAGATTAAACTTATGTAAGAATTAAAAAATTTCAGATCTTGCACCGAAAATCCCCTGGATATGGGAACTCAAAGGTTATTTCATGTACAAAATGACGCGTTGAACGCGAAGTATTACACGCGTTTATTGTCGCAAACGGGCTGGCCAATATGGCATTTTTCAAACTCAATAAATTCAAAAGAAATAATAAAAGATGAGCTATCTTCTTGATTTTTATCATAGGATATCAAAACATTTCAGATAGTATCAAAATTTCAGCTCAAAGATAGCAGATGAAGAAAACAGAATCATGTTTGAAGAAAGTAAAAACACAAAACCACATATATTAAGGGTTGGCCAAATTAAAAATCCAAAAAAGTCTTATTAGAAAAATTACTGTTCCTAAAACAAAGTAAACTAGCGTTAAATTTTACCGTTCTGGAGTTTTTCCGTTTTCAAAAAGGATTGCCTTTAAATTTCTTATTCTAGTTGTATCTTTGAATCAAAATTTTTTCGAAATTTTCGGTCAAACAAGAAAATAATTGTTTTCAGTTTTCTTTTTCTAATCTTCAGACACCATCTCAATGCTTTCGCAATTGAATGCTGGGAAACTTATATCATCTCATCAAATGAGTTTGAGGAATGGAAAACTTCAAAAAGACTAAATTTAAACTGGAAGTTCAGCCAAACATTATGAAAAAACCCATAATGATAAATAACCAAATTTCTTGTGTCGGGGCAACTCCCTAACTGTTTCGGCGGCCTTGCACTGTCTATAAAACATATCTGGTTGACTCCGAAAATTGAAAAAAAAAATTTACAGAAAACAGTTTTTTTGAGATTTTCTCATGTTAATTTTGGGATTTGCGCTCAAAATATATGTAAAGTAGAAACTAATGCTTTTTGCGTCATGTGCTAAACGACCAATAGCTTGCCTCATGAAACATTTTTTGAGTCGGATTGTATTCATTAATAGCTTCGAAGGCATGCGTGTTAATTATTCCAAAGTAGCCCAATTGGAAACATTCAATTGTCCAAAACTCTATGCAAGAGCGGAGCGGTTAGTAAATATGAGCCAAAGATGTGATCGGTTCGTAAATTCGAGTTAATTACATCATAATATCTTTTCCATTCAAACAAAATATTTAAAAATTGTGAATCGAGCTGGAAAAAAAAAACGCACCGAGTGCAAACATTTGGTCATTTTTGCAACCTTCTTTCCAAATAGATCAAATTCAATTTCTCCCTTTATCAATAAAAGAATTACATAGATTCTGTAGAGATGTATTTTTTTGATTTTGATTGGTTAAAATCTCCAACTTAAAACTTGCTTACATTATTCCCCTATTTATCCAATTGTAACAGATGTATAGATTGGTCCCTAACATTAGAAAGCAAATAACCTAGGAGAAATTTGTGCGTCCAGCTCTAAGCTTTTTTGTTAAGATAAAAATTTTAATTTTTTCCCGAAATTATATTTAGATCAGTGTTTGACCGGCAAATTGAATCAAAAGCCTGATCAACAATTTCCTGCCCTCAGCCAATTTTTATGATCTTCATTCTCCAAAAAAAAAGATTACAAGAACAAACATTTTTATATTTTTTCATTTACTTTTCTCGAGCACTTATCAGGGCGTCCGAAGAATGCAAAATTTTCTTCAGGAAGAGAGGTTTCATAATAAAAACCAGGATCAAATTGTGATTTTACACGCTAGTTTTTCCTTTATATAAGTTTGCGTTTAAAATACTCGACTCTGATTGGCTGGAAGTTCCAAATTAGATACAACTTAACATCCTCGCATAAACTGTTTCAGCGTTAAAATATGGTCAGTGAGAGCTCTTGATAAGAAATTTTTTTCTTTCGAAAGATTATCGTAAGAAATTCATTAGATAAGATAAATATATTACTCTGGCAAGTCATAACTATTGAAAGTAAAAAAAACCGGATGAATTATAAAAAATGCAATTTTATTCCCCAACCCCTCCCTTTGGTAACTTAGTAACGAACATCCCCACTTTGCAAAAGAGGCAAATAGATAAAGAGATCCCATTTTTCTAAGACAATTAATTGCGACGGGAAATTCTCCAACTTTTGTTTTCTTCACCTCTTCATGGGCACCGCTGCTGTGCCCCTTACTAAGTGATACATGCAATTTTTTTTGGATATTTTTCTGTTCACGGATCATGGTGCACCTCGAACATCCGACCTTTCAATTGAGAGGCGGAGACGTAACCACTTCACCACCGATCGACAAATGTATCAAATATTTGAGTGTGATTTGAGTTTCATTTCAGCAGTGACTCCAACATTCAAGCGGCGAATCATGGACCGAAAAGTACGAAGGAACAGCGGGGCAATGTTCTTCGCCGAAATATCCAACCCCGTTCCCAACTCCTCGCTTAAAATATCCTGGTTCATAAACGGAGAAAAGGTGTCACGTGACGTGTCCAAGAGATTCGTGACCAAATTTGAACCTAAAAATGGACGAGCTATTTTGACAATAGCTGACTGTACCATACACGACGAAGGTGAAGTTAAATGCGTCGTGGACAATCAACATGACGTAGCCGAGTGTTCTTCTAGCCTAAAAGTAGCAGTTGAATAATTTAGCATGAAATTCTGAGGTGGATTTAAAGTTTCAGGTTCTTTTCGGACAATAAATTTGCAGCCGACCACTGTCTTATTTTGTAAAAAAAAAATGCCAGAAAAAATGCCAAAAATCTTATTCTTTCAAAAACTTGCTGTAATTAAAAACAGAAGGTAAAAACAGAAGAAATCGTCAAAAAAATGTTTGCTTGGATGTACATCAGGTGGTAAAGAACCTTAGATCCGCCTTTTTGAGTTTACTATGACGACTAGTTATGACTAATAGTTGTTTGATGATTACTCACTTCTATGCGTTCTAATTGAATGAGTTCTGAAGATGCCAATGTTTACCACAAGCCGTGCCATGTCGCTTTATATCTCTATTTTTCTAAATATTTCCCAAAATTGCTTTTAGATTTAGACAGCTTCAGTAACATTTGTCATTTATAAAATATGAATACTCAAAAACTAAATTCCGACGTAATCGCTGTTTCCGTAAATTGGTTTGTTTATGGCTAAAATTGATTAACAGGATGAAATTCAATTACTACAAGAATGATCGAATCAGAGTAAAAATCCGACTAAATTTATATTCTCAATTTTTAAATAACCAAGACATTTTGTGTAAAGTAATTACGTCGGATTTTTACCAATTTCAAAATAGGTTGTCTAGATTGCTATTGAATGTAATTGCAAGTGTTATGTCTTATTGATGTTTTAAAATACTGATCAAAATTTGAATAATAATCATTTTCAGCTTTATTTTCAATCGTCAGACGCGTACGCAAAAATTACAATCGAGGTCCTGAATAACAAAAATTTTTAAAAAAATTGTACTTTTTGAAAATCTTCCTACCCGTACACAGTAAATTTTCTAAAACAGATGTGAAATAATCTTTTTCAGATCTAAACTTCAGATCTGAAATAGGTTGTGAAATGTTTAAATAACGCTTCGATACTTCAAGGG